GGGGGGGGGGTTGCAGCGGAAGCAGCAGTTCAATTCTGGTTTTCTTAATGGAAGCAAAGCAGTTATAGAGGATACAGACAAAATGGCGATAAATTGACTTGAGCACGATATGTCACGAGAACCTGGCCTTTACAACCTGACCTTACACTGTCTCCTGTTAAACCAACTAAGGCTGGTCTTGCCTTACATTCGTAAATCGAAATAATACTGTATGTTTGCATTGGCGAATAAGAAACTTCGCCTTTATATAAATACGTGACTGTTGTTTAAACATTTGAAGATCGATGACTTTTTGTGGACGTCCCGGAAAGGTTCGTACTATAGTCCCTTTCCCTACAGTCAATTAGTGCCGTGTATTGCCTACGTCATAGACTTATGCTGTAGTAGATTCGGTAGCTTAATGACGAAAACAGCCAAGGTTTCTTATTGACTTTCTTTAATAACTTGAAGAAATATATTGCCATTTTATTCATGTCATGTCTAGACTGGTCCCCTTTTCTAGAAAATTGAATTTATTAAGGAAAACAATGAGAGTAATAATTTTGATCACTTGGCCGATTCTCCGTTTCAAACTAGGGGGAAGTAAGCTAGTACAAGTGTAGAAGAATGAACCTGGACGATTCTGTCAAAAAAGTGCGTGGCTGGTAGTCAGCTTTCTACATATTATCTGACTATGATCATTTTGTCTTCCGAACTTGAATATTTTTACTTTAACTTCAAACTTAATGACAGTACATGTTACAGCGGTGCATTTTTTTACATTAATTTATCATTGATGCTTATTTTAAGGACCAAATTGTCCAAAGCTTTGTTAAATTTAATTTACAATAAATCAACCTAAAACTGAAACCTGTTATATTTGTAATAAATAAATAAACGAAATAAAATAAAATAAATAAATAAATGACATGCGTAAGGGTTCAGCATGATCTTCTAAAGACAGTTAACACAAAAACGTTATAGATTTTCAAACATTTCTCAGAAATCACATTTGAAAATTTGTGTTTATGATTAAAAAAAGCTAACGAGGCTTGGAACAACGGTGCCGAAAACTTAAAACACTCCACGCCTAGGATGTCTTCGCAATGGTCAGAAACGGATTTTTTAAACGTAAATAACACTTAACCGATCTGGTTAAAATTCTGAATTTACAATAAAATGATCAATGTTTAACTTTTCAAAAATGCTATTTATTATTTATTGCTGTTTAAAAGGATCAGACTACAGGGTCTAATATCAAGACTATTTAAAGCCCATGGCGTTTCATGTTGTGATTATTGATTTAAGGTGGATGTAACATTACAGGAGAAACAAATACCCGCTGTGACTAACAGGTACATTTCGACAGGTATAGGAGGACACAGGGGCCTGAGAATTTGTTACAGTTGAGCTATTTTTGTACCTAAAGTGATGCAATCAGTGTAATATTTGACTCTTTAGGAGTTGAGATACATTTTCTGTAAAATCAGATTATTTACGGGTGGCATTTTTACCGAAATTTGATCTAAATTCCTTAAACTATTACCTTGAACTCTTTAGGTCCAAACACAGCTAAACTGTTACAAATTCTCAGGTCCCTGTGGTTTAGGACAGGTAGACGCTATTTCATAATGTTTACGTGTGTTATATATATACAAGCTACACAAATACACCAATATTCTCTATCATAAATCAAGCGAGGCAGGGTAGTGAGGTAGAAATATATATTTACTCTACAAGAAAGCCATAGAGTTATGTTGGTCTGCAGAAATATGTATGTTTCCGCAAACATCGTATTTCATTACCGTTTTCAATATTTGCTTACTGTGGTTTTCTATAAATGCCAAACATTAATAGTCTTCATTATCCTAAGATACGTATTACACACTGTATTTGTTTATAAAATAATACTGTGCTTCCTTAACCAATTGTATTAGCCAGTTCAGAGAAGAATATAGAAGGGCAGATAACTCGAAAGGGGACTTTACCATTTGGAATTAAGAAACGCCTTTGAAAAACCCAAACTATCCATACCTTATTCCTCAGCGATGTAAAATGTGGGATTTACAATGAAGCATTTTTTTTTTAATTTATCCGTAGGAGAGGCCATTTTTGTATCCCTCTATTTTAGTATTTAAACCAAAAATTGACTGATGATGCCTGATAGCATTGCTCTGGTGGTATGTCAGGATAGGGGTACACACATGTAGTTAATACGTAGTCCACGTGCTGTTAGAGTCGCCAAACCCAAGAATATGATTTTAAACCCTTTTAACTCTATGCCTTTCTTCTAATTGACGTTTAGGGTAATTTCCCTCCCCCAAAGCTTTGGTTTTGGACAGCCCCCACCCCCCTCCCTCCCCATCCCCACCTCTCATCCCCATCTCGCACCCCATCCTCCCAGTACATACATTTATAACGCGTTGTACGTACATAAACGAACAAGTTTAAGGTTGATTTGACTTGAAGATATATGAGTGTTATCCTTTATTAGTAAATAGCTGCAAAATTTCATACCCAAGAATCACCTCAAAATGATGAATGTATTTGGTCTAGTTACAACTGCCTGGATTTAATAAGCAAATTAATATCTCGTGTGCTTTTTTTTAATGTGTCTTCATTTAATCAACTACATGTGAGTTCAACTAGAATTTCTTTTGATTGAAACATACATAATTTGCAAAACACAAATGGGATTAGACGGAAGATTAAAAAAAACTAAGATTTGTCTTCTCCCTAGCTAAAGCATGTTATTTAATGTAGAACCCTTTTTGGTAAGGGGAAATCGTCATAGCAGCATACCCCCTTAATGTATGTATGGTTAAACCTAGGTACAGTTAAGAAGGCAGAGAAGTGTCTTCAGGGATATCTATCTACACGTTCTCGTTTATCAAATCAGCGGTTGTATAGTACTGGTTATACGGATATGAACTTAATCTAAGATCAAACCTTTATCAGAAAGGTGACACAACTTACCTCTATCCACGAGAATATTTCCAACTATAAGGAATTCATATCACAGTCGTCAGGTTGTCACTGTCTCACAAAATCCCCAAAACTAGAACAGACAGTATAGCTAGACGGCGAATTATCCCAGGTAGATCTGCCACAGGTAGCGGTGTGGTTGTACACAGAGAAAGCCGTTAATGGCCTTATAAGTTTATAAAAATCTTTCTTATTTCCAGTTGAGTGGAGAAAATCACAGCATGTTTTCAGTAGAGGTTCCTGTTCACCTTAGGGTGAAATAGGTATACACACACAGGTAAGTATAAAGGTATATATGTAACCGGCCTTCACTCAATTCGATCTCGTTTTCAACAACTACCGTTGCCAATGGCGATTACGACGCTTTAGTACGCCCCGAGGAAGGATTACGTGTTATTTAACTGTCATATATATGTATATATAAATACCTGTATATTAACAAATGAGCGCCCTGATTTAAACGTCCCCTCTTGAGATTGTTGAAAAGGATCACTTGAAATACTTTTAATTACACACCTGGCGTGGGTAGTTTTTGACAAGGCAAGCTTGATTTATTATCTTGTGTACATAATACATTTCAATAAAACTGTTATTTTACAAAGCTTAAGGGACTAAGTTGAAAGTTAAAACTACATTCAATGTTTATCTATCAATGGTTTTATAATTTTTCTAAAAATAGCGAAGTTTGAGGTTATGAATTAACGGAAATAAGTTAACTATTCTTATTGTCGAGAGCAATACACGTTCCATGCAAAATCCATTTATATGTTATACCTTTAATTTACCTGAGTACACAGGAAGACGTCAATATCTGTCACTCTCACGTCTCGTGCCCTGACAGGAAAATAAGGTAAATATCTACTATGACATTAAACATGCTGTATGTGCTATTACAGTGCATCTAATTCACAGTTTCTGAGAATCACACGTGGATCATTATAAGTGCTTTAAACATTATTTTTACTGATTTCCGAGAATCTGAACTTTCGGTGTATTTACTCCGCACATATCGCCCCACATAATTATCTTAAATATATCCCTCAAGTTTTAATTTCTCTGTCAGATAGCGCTATCCTGACAGGGGATAGAGACGGGAAGAGCCCCGGCCCACAAAACGATCATTCGTCAGCTCTCAACCCCTACACCCGCCCCCTTTCTTTCCCCTACTCTTGTTGAAACCCCCTCTCTCTCTTCCGTCTTTCATACCGCTCGGCTCTCTAAGTGAAGTTATAACCTGGTAAACATACGTTCACTTCTACAGGTATTCTTTCTTTCCCCTAAATATAGTACAGTGCTACTGCACCATTCGTAACTCTCACAGTAGACAAAGTAGGGTTTAACATCAAACTAATTGGAACAGAAAGTATTTTTATGTTTCGTACTCTCACTGACGTCTAACTACTACAAGAGGTATCTATTACAATTCAAGGTTTGGTAAAAAAAAATGTGATTTTCATTTTTTTCTTGATCTAATAAATGTTGACAAAGGCATTTTAATATCTAATTTTGAAAGTTTCTTTTCTGCTATAAAATAGATGAACATTATTGAAAATGTAAGACGAAAAACATATAATCTAGTAAACCTATGTCCTCCTCCGGGTACTTCTGTGCCCCTCTCCGGGTACTTCGGTTGCCCCCCTCCGGGAACTTCGGTTCCCCCCTCTCCGGGTACTTCGGTGCCCCCCCTCTCCGGGTACTTCGGTGTCCCCACTGAAGTCCCAATCTTGCTATAGATAAAGAATCCCCTACTCATCTCACAAGAGTTATTTTTGATATTTTTAGAAAGGTGTATTTCAATTCGGAAAATGACCAAAATTTTAAATGGATCAATGATAATCTTTTAAACTTTCACATGTACTCGCCATTAAAAATTTCTTTCTTCGTTTCTTTCATCGCCAACCTTTTATTCCTAATTATGTGAAGCGTATTCAAATGTCATTGTCTGTGACACTATTGTTTAACGTGTACCGAAACGCACGTCGTGTAACATATTGACAAGAGGGTGCTGCAGTATTGATATAGATCATCATATCACAGGTACTAACCTCGTCTGTCAATACACATATGATTATATTATAGGTGTATTGACAGAAACACGAGCATGTATTGCTATGATAAAAAGAAACATGTATGGAATGGCCTCATAGTTTATATGGTGGCATTTCACTCCGAATCATAACAGAAAACAAGGCGATACTTTATACAAATAACTTATGTTTATTTCTAACGTAACAAATTGATATGAATATTCCTAAAGGTGACGAATTCATGATCATTTCAAAATCATGGTCTAAGGGAGATAACTGTTTTACAGTTCACGTGCATTGATGAACAGATGTACAATGATTTTTTAGTGACTATTGACGTAATGTAGACGTATGAATATACACATGAATCTGGACCAGCCACATCTTACCTACTCTAGTATGTGTATGATGATATGCACAGATGATCTAGGATAATTAAGTTCGGTCAAATAATATTTCCAATCGTAGTTATGCACATATTACACATGATACAGTGTATTACGTCATAATGATGTGACTATAGAGGCATCAACGCATGCGCCCACTTATATACCCTATTCAATCCTGTCAAATTTAATCACATCCGTTTTTGAAATTGTCTGGTACTACATCACATGACGTCATACATTTCTGTTACAACCTTACATTAGGAACACTATACAAGTCCACACCTTAATGTTCAAGCAAGATCCACCTCCGGCGAAGTATCCAGAAGTTCAGCGTATTCTCCCTTTTGACGAGTTTTGTCAAAAACGTGGTTAATCCACATTGGGTAAGGTGAAATGCAGAAGTTACGATTTTGGAGAGGTGTTCCGATGTCCGGGTATTTTCCCGTCTGTGAGTATTCCGATAACGCGGATATTCTACCTTATCCGAGGTGTGAAGTGGATATTTCACTTTCGGAGAGGGGTTCCGTATAAAGAAGATTTTTCAGTTAAATTTCAAGCGATGTTAGGTGTAATTTAACAAGTGAAGAAGCCTTGGCAAGTTTCTTTAAGGAAAGTTAATCAGGTTGTTAGCAGAACAACCCGTCTTAGTGACACGAACACTAATTTCCAAGGTGTTCCGAATGCTTCGCAATTTTTCGGACATTTACACATGTATGGGATAATTTTCTGTGTCTATTTGATAATTCATCACTAGAACTCTAATGAAACGGCTACGAATATCCAGTAATGCATAATTTAACTCAATGTCGATATTTAAGTGTATTTTTGATTTCTAGTTAAACGAGGAATTGTTCCGGAAACGGAAACGTGGATGCGCATGACTGACTCCGCTACCAAGTTGTATTGTGCTTCTTCCCAGAAATCCCTCGCTGTGACGTCGAGCGGAAGGTGCCGTGATCCGAGCTTTCATCCTCTGGAAGAAATTTTTATGTTGGAAAGCATCCAGCTCCATTCCGGCCTTGGCCAGCCATCTACGGTCTTTCTCTGTTTCGTAACCTGCAAAACAACCAACAATTTATAAAAGTTGTAGTACTTTAAAGGGACACAACTCATGTCGAACCGAACAGATGTAACTTCAGACTATGTGAGACTACTCATCAGTGGCTATTACATCAGGGTTTAACAAATTTAACAAATTAAAGTTAACAAATTTCCAAGTTTTCTAAAATGTTAAATCAACCAATATACATGTTTTACATACACTATATCCTAATTGCGGCACGTCACACGTACAAACCTCAAATCTTCAGATAACATTACGAAAAAAACGCTTGGAAGAAACATGCGACCTTTTTTTTCGCGAAATAGCTTAGATAATCAAAAAGCGTGACTAGACTGTTAAAAGATAGAAGGCCAAGACCCAGGTACCCGTAAAAACCTACGTCACTACTTACCGGCTTTCAGGAGACGTCGGATGTTTTCCGTTGACATGCCGTGTGTCGATGTAAATGCTAAATAAAGCGCTGTTTGGCCAAGCTTGTCAACAACATTGACGTCACATTCGTTTTTAATGAGATATTCTGAAGTTCGTTCTCTACCGTCCGCCATAGCGATCATAAATGCGGTTTTCCCCGTGGAATCCAATTCGTCAATGAGTCCACCTACAATTATATAAACAATTTGGAATAAATGATAGACTTAAGTAAATGTCTCACTCTCAGATAGGAAAGCATAGCTGTATAAATTATAGCTATGCACATGGGATTCATGGAATGGCTGCTCCAACGCTCCTTCAAAGTAAGGAGTCTCTTTGAAATGGTTATAACCCTATTCGATAATGATTATGAGCAAATTACGCTAGACTTATGATGTTATTTAGCAAATATGAATGAGGTAATATTGCATTTTTAGATGCCTGTGTAATTCATTACCTAAAGGTAAATGTTGTATTATTGCTTTTCCATTGTTATCATGCTTTAACACAATTCTTTTGTGTGATTGCTTACCAACAATGGGTAAGTCTGTTAACAGAGTGTCTGAAGCAATGAAACACTTGTGTTTGTACAGGAATACCTTCACGTGCTTGGCCTGTTCAGAAACGTATAGAACGCATATATTAACATGTCTCTGATGTGGTGTTCGTAAATATTTGAGTTATAGTACGAATAATTATAAACAAGATCTGGGTCAAATCTGAAGGTGATCTACTACTTGTACGTATCGTTCAGTCATTCTAAATGTGGGATGCACATTTTATCTGTACGAGTTATAAGACAGATGCTAGTTATGTTGTTGTCAAATTCTCATTATAATGTGGGTCAAATCTTAAGGTGAAGATCACAGTGATCTACTACTTGGACGTATCTTAGGATATATTTGTATACAGTCTAGTGTTCTTACATCTTATTTACATTTCTCTCACTGTAATATGGGTCAAACGTGAAAGCGTAGGTTAAAATGATACATTTGTATATTTAACGATTTGTATCTGTATACAAGGTTTGGTGATTCTAGGTGTTACACTTCTGTTCCGGGAAAGTAATAATCTAATTACTAGTATAAAGGTTGAGGTCAAATAAAGGTTACAGTGACCTACTTTCGTATGTGAGACTCTTGGCATCTAAAAGTGTGCCCTTGTGCCAGGTTTGTACCAAGTTTGGAGCTCATACGAAACATCACATGGGGAATAGGTGATACAAAAATACTGAAATTAGTACGGGAATAGGTTTTGAAATTATTCTTGAAATATTTTCGATCTGTTTATGTTTTAATTATGGCATTATATGATTGGTCACATTCGTTGACTCTGGTGTGAATTATTACGAGAAAAGTTTATCACACATTTCAATGGAATTCGATTTAACAACACTATCGTTAATTTTAATTTTCTGTGACGTTTGTATTGTTTGTCACTAACCTTGTTGTCAAATAAGATCAATTTCACTTTATAAAGAATTTACTAATTGTCTTTTGCAGACGGTACATAAATAAATGAAAGGATTGATTAATTTCAAACTTTTATATAAAAATGACATAATTATGTTTATCCATTACATTTGTCATATTACGTAACATGGCTGATATAATAACTTACCTGTTGGGTTCAGAACACAGACAATTAATAATTACAAAAAATGACATCTGTCGTTCAAATTTCTGATAATTAAAAATTTATACTGTTAACAATTTTCAAGTTACAAACGCCTAATGATTTAGCGCTACGTTAAATCAAGGTAACTGTTATTTATTTAATCTAATTAACTCTAATTTATTATTAGAAGTTCTTTTTACACAACCAATTAAATTTTCTATGTGACATTTCGATGACTAAGAACGAAATTCTAATAATCCATATTTACCAACCTGAAGAAAATGTATAGAAAAAACTCTATATTTAGTTAAATTAAATTATATATTTCTTTTTCTTTTTAGCAGTTACTATAATTTAGCACTTTCCAAGTAATTCAAAAGCCGCATATATATTATTACCGCTGATTTCTCTTCAGGTAATTTATCATTCTTAGTCTGATTTGGTTAGTTTGCCGATAATTCAGCAAAATTTTCATGAAAAGTGTTGAAATTCAAAACTGAAACTGTATGATGACTATCTATATTTAGATTGATCATATACAAACAGAAAACTGTATTCGAAGCTTTCAAATATTTATCAAGTATTTATTTTTCTTGCTATCGACTAGCTACATCAGGTAATCAGACATTTATTGTTGTTATGCCTGAAACTGCACTGATCATACACCGTTGTCGCGTTAGCACTGTGGTATTACTGTCTACTGTAAACATATAGAGATTCATTATCATCGTGATGTCTATTGTAAATAACACAATAAATGGCAGACGTGTCGGAGGCATCCATCAGGTGACCTGTACAGAACGCTGACAGTGATCGATAGCGTCAATAAACTCGATCACCGATACATTCGTTAATTACCTCGTGTTGTATTTACCGCCTTGTTTGTGCTGGACAATGTTTGTGTATTGGCAGCTCAAACGAAATAACAACCCCTCCCCCATAAACCCGTCACTCCCCGTTACATGACAACCGCAAAACATCACAGTAGACAATACTTATACCATCAACAGACAACTTTGGCTAAAACCAGATAATGTCTCTAATTCTCTGTCAGACATTTAGACAGTCATGATTATGTGCTATAAAAGGCCGCGTTGTCAACACGAACATTTTTTTGTATTGTTTCCCAAAATAATAGCGTAAAAATAGCCATTATTGTTAGTTGTGTCAGACAATGGTGTGTGAAACCAGGAAACAGTTTTCCCCATAAGAGGTTTACATTTCTTTTCATCATGATGAGTCGAAGAGTCGAAGACATTTTTATGTATAATATTACAAACTCAGGGAATAGGACCGTACGGTAGCCAATGTACAAGGGAGAAGCAAATAGATTTTGTTTGGTTGGCTGATCGTTGTGTACGGCTGGGTTCAACGAACAAAATGCCATTTAACTGTCAGGTAACAAGTTTTCAATTAGCCACTTTTATTAATGGTCGAATATAATTACCTTACGTAGCCTATTGACATGTACATATTTAGGGTCGTGGCAGTTGATTACGTTCACCTTGTACTTTAATTATAGTAATAATACCTTTAATTACAGCAGTTATGGTTGATGAGTTAGCGGGGGTTAACTACGATCTCACAAAAAGTCAATATACCAACAGATTTTTTGTTATATCTATTTCTTGCTCTTATGTGGAGGAGAAGAACTATGTTTCTCCCATATTAAATTATGTATTATAATTAGATGTGCAGGTATGGGGTGGGGATATCTAATCTGTCGGTAGGGTAGGCTCAACCACTCTAACCCTGTTGGGGTACATGGTATTATATATATGCATATCATACTCCTGATTATATATATTTTTATATCAAGCAATACATTTATTGAGAAATAACGAAGCTATATAGATGTGTCGGAAAGTTCAAGGAGTTTTACATATAAGTATTTAGAAGTACACGTTTATATAAGAAAATTCGATAGTGATACGTTCATATTTTGGCAACGCCAGGGTTTAAGCAATATTAATTAGACTTTCCTATTTTTTTCATTCAGTATTGAATTTCAATAAAAATAATTCACTTTTATCAACAGCAATATATCTCTGAGTAAAGTATGTGTCCTTGATAAGGTTCTTCAGTGCAGCTACTGACAATGACATTTGTAAAAATCTCGATTTATAAATATATTGTTTTATAAGTAAAATTATGGTATTATCTACCCTACTACTGATACTATTTTGATTAAATAAACCGAAAATGAAGGTTTCCTTGTTAAAACCAAATGGAATTAACAATACATCAAGAAGGAATGTCTGAAGATAGTGAATAGTGTGATTGTTTTTATAACGTGTCTAATAAGTCAATTTGGCCAGACACATTTTATATTCAAAGGTATTTGTATTTTGATTTATGAATACTATGTGTATTTTTTACTTTTTGTCGGTTTTGTTATCATGTAGGGGAAACGATGTGTTATAAGTCTTACCTATTGCGCCAAAACCCATTACTCGTTGGCAAAACATATGTTTAAATCAAAGCTTTTCAATTATGAAACAAGCTGCACATCTTCCGTTTTGAGAAAGAAAAAAAACGTCAAAAAAAATTTGGATGTGACATGAGGTATTACAATATAAAAGTTAATGTACAATCTGGGAAGTTTTCATCAGTCTTCCACATTTTTTATGATATTGATAACATTGTTACGTCGGATAATTTTTGCGGAAATGTTTGTGAGCCAGCAGTTAGATGTTCACCTGTTTTAAAGATTACAATCACCATAGCTTACCAGGTGTTCTGTTCACAAAAGGTGAAGTTGTGATGGCGGATAATTTTAAAACACTTTGTGAATTTGTTGAATCTAATGATAAAAAAATGGGCTGTTTTAGATATCTTTCTCATTTTCAGTTTATGTAGTAATGAACCAAATCAAATAACAATTACATTACCGATAGGTATTATTTGTGTCTAAGTATATTTTAAAGTCGTATTTGCGTTTGTTTCACGTGTACTGATATGAGCGTATACGCAACCCAGAATAAATTATCTTGTACATGTAATAGCCTACTGTAGTCAACCACGCTGTCAGTTTTACCTGGGACTTAGATAATCCAATCTAATTCCGTGGTTTTACCTAACATGATAACATACTCCAATTATAATTCATTCTCTAAATCAGCGGTCCACGCAGAAACCAAATAATCGCAAAAGTCTTTTTAAAAATGACCTGAAAAAATAACTACTTCGTCAGGATAGGTCGAGTACCAATGACGTATTGGTTTTAACAAGTATTTTAACATATATTCAAACGCGCCACAAGAAGCTCACAGCCTTCAATCGGCGTCATCGCTATATGAACTAATCAAAGGTTTTGTGTAATAAAGAAGTGGACACGTGACCTTGTACAAAGCCTGTGATACAGAGCAAGCCTTCCATGCTTTCATGCTTAGAGATTAATATGTCTTTTTCACCTTTCTGTATACTGCAAATTTTAAACGCCCCAACCCTTGTTTCGTTTGTGAGTTATTAACACTATGGACCTAAGTTTCAGGTTTAACCGAATATTTAAATATCTTTTGTAGGAATAATTAACTACACTATACATTCACCTCTGTAAATAAAAGGTTAAGTAGAGGTCATTGACTGGAAACTAATTAAATGAAACGACAAGCAAGCAAAACGTAACGTCCTCAGGTCAGGCAATCGCTGATGTCTGTTGTCCCCGTTGGTGTGTATTGTATACGGTGTAGTGGTATAATTATACTGAGAAAGTCTTAGTAATGATCATTTAAACTAATGATCGTATAAATGTCAAACACTACAAACTAGTCTTCATGAATAATTCACATGGTGGAAGTCATCTTTGGCTACTTGATTAAATCTCTCACCATCTGTGTTGGAATTGTTACAGTGATGTATGATGGAAGCTTAATTATTTGCCCTACCCCCGCCACACTTTGCCTTGTGTCCCCTGGTTCGCACGCCATGTCCTTGCATTTTCATATTCTCCCCTGGTTCGTATTTCATGCCCTCGCCTTACTTTTCCCTGTAATCCCCTGTCATCGCCTTGTATTTCCCTGTCCCCCTCGTCTGCCATATTCTGCCCGCGTCTCACCTGCCCTACTCTGCCCTCGACTCGCCTCACCTACCCTCCCCCGCCACACATTGCCTTACTCTCATCTTGGCTCGCCTGCCCCCCCCCCCCCCCCCCCCCCGCCATACCTTCTCCTATTCTCCCCTTGGCTGTTCTGCCCGCCCCCGTCACGCATTGCCCTACTCTCCCTCCCCACGCCCACTCTTTCATCGCCTCATTCCACGGGTCATGCTCTCTGTATGTCTTGCCTGCCCTTCCCTGCTCCCCTCTTGTTCAACTTATTCTTCCCTCCCAGTTTTTATTACAGGCAGGCTCCACCTTGCACAGACAGATAATACTACTGTGCAGCAGAACATGTGACGTCGACAGGACAGTTGTCCTTGGCGACCTCCATCACAATACAGAGTTTAAGACTCGCGACCTGTCATATAAGGGGACACAGCTGTACAAGCATATCACGATAAATGCTGGTCTACGTGCAGAAACACGGCCTGTCCCATCTGATGTACGAGCTTTGTCACTTTCAGCCTGCTGTATTCATTCTTTCTTTCTCACCCGTGATCGCCTAACAGGTGTCACGTGTTGGTGGCAAAGTGTAACGTTACGTGCAGATTTTGACCGGAAGTGGAAACATAACTCGAGAAAAAGTTTAATAATTGTATTCAGAAACGAAATGAATGTCATACCTGGGAACTGTCACGTTAATTGTTATGTGAGTCTCAGAAGATTGTTTGAAGAAGCACCGGGACTGGCGTAGATTATTGCGTATTGCTAAAGCAAGATATGGACAAACATCGTGTACATCGATACTGATTAGATGTCGTTAAGTGATCAAAACCCCAAACGTTAGATGATATTAGAAGTTATGATTGGATAGACACAACGCACACCATGTTCTTTGATCGGGGACTGTTCGGGTGATTCCGTCATCCGAAACCGATTGTCGCTTCATAAGTTCTATGTTTGACGGGTATTTCGTAGTGGTTTCCAATATATTTCAAGTACTTAAACAAACGGTAACTATAGAAAACCCGCGTTTGTTTCCTCAAACCAGTATTGGATATCGCTGTTTAAGTTCTATGATAGTCTGTATATTATGTATATATCAATCATAATTCAATGCTATTATCTCGGGCTGTCAAGCATCACAATGACGAAGAAATCGTGCGATTTTCATGCGAACATATGATACTGAACATTCTTAACATTTACAGATTAATTTAGCTGGCATAAAACCTAAATGTGCTCAACCCCTACTGATGTTACACGTGGTTGTGCCTGATTAGATCCTAGTTCACATTCTATACCCAGACCTGATTCTCAACACTGTTACCAATGTACGGAGGCATATATGTTTAATGTATATAATGTACTAAGGTTTCCTGTAGAAATGTGAAAGAAAACTTCTATCAAGGTTCCTGCACAAGCGACAGAAATAGATTGAGTGTCACGAAGAGCTAGCCTCCCCTAAGTAAATATATGTGTTACTGTGAACAGCCGGTGTACTTCTCATGTTTACAAGGGATATGCAAGTTACTTGTGTTAAAAGCCTCATCTATTACCTTGGTGTTGACGACTTGGTTGGGTATAAAACCCCTATAAACACTTACGGCCGAGATATCTCTGAAGCAGTTAAGCAGTTTTACTTAGAAAGTAAAGAAACCATAATAGTTTTAAAGTACATCAAAGATATGTAATAATGCTTCTGTCAGCCATAATGAAATTACAATTGTTTATTCTTGTCAGGTTCATTACTTCCTTGATGACCTATATAATTAACTACAGAGCGTCAGTTTGACCTTTGACTTACACAGCCGTTCATTTCACAAGGATATATTACCTTCCTGTCTTAGCGAGTCTTGTACGTCTTTGTAGTATAAACCAAGTAAGAACCAGCACCATGACGTCATAAATGACATCTCGACAATCTCAACACAATCATAGGTCTACAGGAAAGTCACAAGGACCCATCAACACAATTAAAAGGCTACAAGGCAGTCTCAAAGACCCATCATTAAAATTAGAGGGTCACATGGTAGTCTCAAAGACACACCAACATAATTGGATGGTCACACAGATTCTCAAAGACCCACAAACACAATTGGATGGTCACATCGAGTCTCAGAGATCGACGATCCTCACTGCATTTGCAACAACCCCAACACAATGTACTACAGGTCCACAGAATAGTCTAAACGGTCCATTAGCATAATAAATTCACCCGGGGCCATACGGTAGTCTTAATCAACACAACAAAGTCATACAGGACCACACAATAGTCTAAACATCCAATGGACCCATTACCATCCTATAGGACCACACGGTAGTCTGAATGGTCTATCAACACAACAAAGTCATACAGAGCCACACAATTGTCTAAACATCCAATGGACACATTACCATCCTATAGGAACACACGGTAGTCTGAATGGTCTATCAACACAACAAAGTCATACAGAGCCACACAATTGTCTAAACATTCAATGGACACATTACCATCCTATAGGAACACACAATAGTCTAAACATCCAATGGACACATTACCATCCTATAGGAACACACGGTAGTCTGAATGGTTTATCAACACAACAAAGTCATACAGAGCCACACAATAGTCTAAACATCCAATGGACACATTACCATCCTATAGACAGATAGGGCTCTATAGACAATTTACATGATTGCTGTACCTACTAGATTTGCGTAGTATTTTGAGGGTCCCTAGAGTCAGTTACCACAAATGGTTGCATTTGATAGTTTTTAGTATTGTTGCTGTACTTACCAGCTTTGTGTAGTATTTTGAGTGCCTCTATAGACAGTTTACATGATTGCTGTACTTACAAGTTTTGTGTAGAATTTTGAGTGCCTCTATAGCCAGTGTACACGATTGTGGTACTTACCAGCTTTGTGGAGTATTTTGAGTGCCTCTAGAGCCAGTGTACACGATTGTGGTACTTACCATCTTTGTGGAGTATTTTGAGTGCCTCTATAGCCAGGGTACACGATTGTGATACTTACCAGCTTTGTGGAGTATTTTAAGTGCCTCTATAGCCAGTGTACACGATTGTGGTACTTGCCAGCTTTGTGGAGTATTTTGAGTGCCTCTATAGCCAGTGTACACGATTGTGATACTTACCACTTTTGTGGAGTATTTTGAGTGCCTCTATAGCCAGTGTACACGATTGTGATACTTACCAGCTTTGTGTAGTATTTTGAGTGCCTCTATAGCCAGTTTACATGATTGCTGTACTTACCAGATTTGTGTAGTATTTTAAGGGCCTCTATGTCGTCATACAGAACTGATTTCATCAGAGCGGTTTGTCCGTTCCTGTTCTTAGCATTGATGTCGGTTTTATCTGAAAAACAAAATATCAGAATGATCATAACTATTCTAACACAAATCAAACTAATGTTTGCGTACTCAAAGAATATTTGTGGCTGCAGCAGGAGGTGTACTACTCATTGTAATGGTGTGGATGTTGATGTTTGCGGCTGCAGCAGGAGGTGTACTACTCATTGTAATGATGTGGATGTTGGTGCTTGTGGCTGCAGCAGGAGATGTACTACTCATTGTAATGGTGTGCATGTTGACGTTTGTGGCTGCAGCAGGAGGTGTACTACTCACTGTAATGGTGTGGATGTTGATGTTTGTGGCTGCAGCAGCAGGTGTACTACTCATTGTAATGGTGTGGATGTTGGTGGTTTTGGCTGCAGCAGGAGGTGTACTACTCATTGTAATGATGTGGATGTTGGTGGTTGTGGCTGCAGCAGGAGATGTACTACTCATTGTAATGGTGTGGATGTTGATATTTGTGGCTGCAGCAGGAGGTGTACTACTCATTGACATGGTGTGGATGTTAGTGTTTGTGGCTGCAGCAGGAGATGTACTACTCATTGTAATGGTGTGGATGTCGATGTTTGTGGCTGCAGCAGGAGGTGTACTACTCGTTGTAATGGTGTGTATGTTGGTGTTTGTGGCTGCAGCAGGAGGTGTACTTCTCATTGTAATGGTGTGGATGTTGGTGTTTGTGCCTGCAGCAGGAGATGTACTACTCATTGTAATGGTGTGGATGTTGATGTTTGCGGCTGCAGCAGGAGGTGTACTACTCATTGTAATGATGTGGATGTTGGTGGTTGTGGCTGCAGCAGGAGGTGTACTACTCATTGTAATGATGTGGATGTTGGTGGTTGTGGCTGCAGCAGGAGATGTACTACTCATTGTAATGGTGTGGATGTAGATGTTTGTGGCTGCAGCAGGAGGTGTACTACTCGTTGTAATGGTGTGTATGTTGGTGTTTGTGGCTGCAGCAGGAGGGGTACTACTCATTGTAATGGTGTAGGTGTTGGTGTTTGTGGCTGCAACAGGAGGTGTACTTCTCATTGTAATGGTGTAGATGTTGGTGTTTGTGGCTGTAGCAGGAGGGGTACTACTCATTGTAATGGTGTGGATGTTGGTGTTTGTGCCTGCAGCAGGAGATGTACTACTCATTGTAATGGTGTGGACGTTGATGTTTGTGGCTGCAGCAGGAGGTGTACTTCTCATTGACATGGGGTGGATGTTGGTGTTTGTGGCTGCAGCAGGAGGTGTACTTCTCATTGTAATGGTGTAGATGTTGGTGTTTGTGGCTGCAGCAGAAGGGGTTCTACTGATTGTAATGGTGAAGATGTTGGTGTTTGTGGCTGCAGCAGGAGGTGTGCTTCTCATTGACATGGTGTGGATGTTGGTGTTTGTGGCTGCAACAGGAGGTGTACTTCTCATTGTAATGATGTAGATGTTGGTGTTTGGGGCTGCAGCAGGAGGTGTACTTCTCATTGACATGGGGTGGATGTTGGTGTTTGTGGCTGCAGCAGGAGGGGGACTTCTCATTGACATGGTGTGGATGTTGGTGTTTGTGGCTGCAACAGGAGGGGTACTTCTCATTGTAATGATGTAGATGTTGGTGTTTGTGGCTGCAGCAGGAGGTGTACTTCTCATTGACATGGTGTGGATGTTGGTGTTTGTGGCTGCAGCAGGAGGTTTACTACTCATTGTAATGGTGTGGATGTTGGTGTTTCTGGCTGCAGCAGGAGGTGTACTACTCATTGTAATGGTGTGGGTGTTGGTGTTTGTGGCTGCAGCAGGAGGGGTACTACTCGTTGTAATGGTGTGGATGTTGGTGTTTGTGGCTGTAGCAGGAGGTGTACTACACATTGTAATGGTGTGGATGTTGGTGTTTGTGGCAGCAGGAGGAGGTGTACTACTCATTGTTATGGTGTGGATGTTGGTGTTTGTGGCTGCAGCAGAAGGGGTACTACTCATTGTAATGGTGTGGGTGTTGGTGTTTGTGGCTGCAGCAGGAGGTGTACTATTCATTGTAATGGTGTGGATGTTGGTGTTTGTGGCAGCAGGAGGAGGTGTACTACTCATTGTTATGGTGTGGATGTTGGTGTTTGTGGCTGCAGCAGTAGGTGTACTTCTCATTGACATGGTGTGGATGTTTGTGTTTGTGGCTGCAGCAGGAGGTGTACTACTCGTTGTAATGGTGTGGATGTTGGTGTTTGTGGCTGTAGCAGGAGGTGTACTACACATTGTAATGGTGTGGATGTTGGTGTTTGTGGCAGCAGGAGGAGGTGTACTACTCATTGTTATGGTGTGGATGTTGGTGTTTGTGGCTGCAGCAGGAGGTGGACTACGCATTGTAATGGTGTGGATGTTGGTGTTTGTGGCTGTAGCAGGAGGTGTACTACTCATTGTAATGGTGTAGGTGTTGGTGTTTGTGGCTGCAACAGGAGGTGTACTTCTCATTACAATGATGTAGATGTTGGTGTTTGTGGCTGCAGCAGGAGGTGTACTTCTCTTTGACATGGTGTGGATGTTGGTGTTTGTGGCTGCAGCAGAAGGGGTACTACTCATTGTAATGGTGTGGGTGTTGGTGTTTGTGGCTGCAGCAGGAGGTGTACTTCTCTTTGACATGGTGTGGATGTTGGTGTTTGTGGCTGCAACAGGAGGTGTACTTCTCATTGTAATGGTGTAGATGTTGGTGTTTGTGGCTGCAGCAGGAGGTGTACTTCTCATTGTAATGGTGTGGATGTTGATGTTTGTGGCTGCAGCAGGATGTGTACTACTCATTGTAATGGTGTGGATGTTGATGCTTGTGACTGCAGCAGGAGGTGTACTACTCATTGTAATGGTGTGGGTGTTGATGTTTGTGGCTGCAGCAGGAGGTGTACCACTCATTGTAATGGTGTGGATGTAGATGTTTGTGGCTGCAGCAGGAGGTGTACTACTCATGGTAATGGTGTGGATGTTGGTGTTTGTGGCTGCAGCAGGGGGTGTACTACTCATTGTAATGGTGTGGATGTTGATGTTTATGGCTGCAGCAGGAGGTGTACTACTCATTGTAATGGTGTGTATGTTGGTGTTTGTGGCTGCAGCAGGAGGTGTACCACTCATTGTAATGGTGTTGATGATGGTGTTTGTGGCTGTAGACTTGACGTCTGCCACGAAGAATAAGTGACAATTTGCATAACAATACAACGCGGGTCCTACACGATATCAGACGAGACGGTTCATAGGTTATGGTTCACAGTTCAACGTACATTCGATTCGATGCCTGATGTAAGGGTCTTTAATTATTTATCGGCCTTTCTCATTTTTTTATGCACATCGTGTCCTCTTTGACACCTGTTACCTGACCGTTGGCGGGCTAACTGACGGTTTATTTGTGATATGTCACGGTTTAGATATGATATTGTTTTTCAGTTATGTAACATGACAGTAAAGACTAGCCTAAAGGACAAGTAGAAACTGTTGTATGGTTGTCACAGCTCCCCGCAGGCTCGCGCAAAATAATTCACGTTTTGGTGTCCATCGGTATGTATATATTATACTAAGCTACTAAGTAGAGTATATTTAACAGACCTCGCTGGTAGGGCTCTCCCCAACATCTGGAAACTTGAAATACACTACTTAGTAGTGTATATTTAACAGACCTCGCTGGTAGGTCTCTCCCCAACACATGGAAACCTGAATTACACTACTAAGTAGTGTATATTTAACAGACATCGCTGGTAGGGCTCTCCCCAACATCTGGAAACTTGAAATACACTACTTAGTAGTGTATATTTAACAGACCTCGCTGGTAGGGCTCTCCCCAACACATGGAAACCTGAATTACACTACGAAGTAGAACTAGAATATTTTTATTATTATTACTATTACTACTTGGGTATTACTTCTCAAGCCGTTTTAATGCATTGAATGTAGAATAGAATTTAATATAATATATATTTGCCATATTTTACGACATCTAGAGAGTTTATTAGGTATATATAGGGGCTGTCCCGATCACTTGTTCCCCGGACTGTTATCTTTGATAATTTGAATCAATTCATTAATACATGGCATATTATAACTGTTTTAATAATGTTTTATATAAGATGATCGCTCCCTGATTTGTAACTTTATGCTGTTAGGCACTGTAACTGCATATGCTTATAATATGTATCAATGACACAATGCTGACTTGACATGGCCTGACCTATGATCATAATGCGGTAGTATTTTGCATTTCATCGGCAAACCTAAAATGATGAACGTTAGACAAACACATAACTGTCACCGAAACTCTGACCCAAGACTTAAGTCTTATAGCATAGCCTGTTGTTAGAAAACAAAACACGTTGTCATAAATGAATTCCATCTTTTGCAGAACATGCTACATCAAAGAGTCATACATTGATATATAACTATGATATATAACTACTGCGTGTTATTCCGGAAAGTAACACCGGATTTAGACGGGTAATTAGTATCTCCCATTCAGGTGACGTGTCTGACGAGCTATCACAACACAAGTTTGGTAAACACTACATTGTTTATGACGTAGTACGGAGATTGATGGCTAAACTATGGTAATATGTTAACACTGTATGTTGTTGATGCACGTCCGTGTGCAGTGTAAGATTACGATATGCACCTGTCACGAGGCAAACAGTTTAATCAGTGGTAGATGAAGATAAATTAATTGCCTCTGTCATAGCGTCAAAACGATTTAACGATGGACACATAAATTAAAAATCGGGTCAGCAAATATGTCAACAACATGTTCTTTATTGTACAGTCTACTGATTAATGAATTTATTATAAATCAAGGACGATATGAAGAATTTATATGAGCTTAATGACACGCGATGACGTAGTGTTAATAAATGACTTTAATAATTATTAAAAATGGACATATTTTTTATAGATTAAACTTTACTGTCTGCGAAACAAATATTACATAAATTCATGCTGATTTATTCACGTTTATGTCACGGATATGCATAGATATTAATTAATGCTCTCGTAAATTGAAATTTGTATTGTCATGCTATCTCATATATACATGTTCTGTTTTGTTTCATAAAATGCACATTTGCGATGTGTAATGAGTTAGGGTTTTTAATCATATGCTATGCAAAATTGTAACATGGAATTGAAAAAAATGAGACAGTAACAAGTGTTAAAAATATTGATGTAAATCTGTCAACTATACATAATTTACATATATGTAAATAGACGAATACTTTTCACACAGTCAAACTTTCGCCCTATGCCGGTATCTGTGTTCGCCCAGTGTTAATCCCGCCCATCAGATTTGTTTGCTGTATTTTTAATGTTTTGTACTAGTGCTCGCTCTAATGATAAATTAGCCCTCATAAAAAAGTGAAATTTTCATTGCGGAGAATATTTCTCAGTATACGGTATAGCAGTGTTAATTAAAAAGTATACAGGGTCGGGTGAAAGGGTAAATGAAAAGAAGAAAGAATTATAGTTATTCGTTTCCTGTTACATCTTAGTGCATGCATCACTGACCATGTATTGTCGCCAGCAATGTCGTCACGATGTCGTTACAGGTTTTACATTTATCTCCTTGACAATTGAACTTTGTACAATAAGATTATTTTTAATTTCCTTATGTATAAAGTTTAAGATTGACATTTAATGCAACTTCTGTAATGGTTACGCAGTAACACGTTGGACAGTTTCATTATTATTATTTTTTGTTTGTTTGTTTTTGTTTTAAACTTTTACGATTCTTATTGAACATGTTTAGCTGATATAAATGTAGATGTATTGTGACGTCACTGATGTTGACATGTGAGTTTGCTTACAATGCAGTTTTGCAGGTAAATTGAAAGCATACTGTATTTTGATATTAATATTATTTGTATTATCCAAACAAAGACACTAACACATCTTAGCTGACGGAAAGCACAGTCAATTAATATTGGTTTTGCATACCGCCATATATCCTGTTTTGTTTTTTACTTTTCTCAAAAAAAAAAATCTTTATTTATTTTACAACAATTATGAAACAAGTTATGGCACGGATGTTAGCGCGCTCGGGGTCTTAATGTGGGAGGAAACCGAAGTACTCGAAGAAAACCCACGTGGTCGGGCAGGTGACCCGATACATTTTCACGTCCAATCGGGGAATCGAACCCCGGTCGCCTTGGTGAAAGGCAAGTGCGCAATCCAATGCGCGACCCGACCTCCCGAAACTGGGAAAGATACCGTTGATAAACAACAACTCTGGTCCGAAATCATAACATATTCGGTTTCATCATGCAGCAAGGAGTACAGTTACATGAATATTCCTAGTTCTTAAAGAGTAAGCCCTGTAGCTTTAATTGATTCTTGCAGGGTTGACATGAAACAGTTTAAGTATGGGCTTTCTGTTGTAACCGAAAGTACCTTATTTAAGGGTTTAACATTCGTATTTGTGTATCTACAAAAATGTGAAATAGGTGTTTACGTATTTTGTATTTCTTAGAATTATTTTCATAACTAAAAAGATACCGAGAAGTTACGTTATGTTTTCCCGTTAAACACTATATTATTTTAACTATGTCTGAGTATGACAGAATACTGAAATCTTTCATGACTTTCGGTATTTTCTGCCATACCATTGCAGCTAAATATACAGCTTAGTGAGTAGCGAAGATATACTAAAATAACTACGCACTCCACCGTCGCTCCATGTGTGTCTCCACAGAATATCTGCGGCTTTGAATAAAGTAACAAAAGATTCCGTAATTGGTAAATATCAAAAGTGATATCAGTCACAGCATGCAAGATATCAATTTTATCAAAGAGATATATTTAGATATCTCGCTGGCAAATATTTTATAAATAGATATTTGTCTACGTACCGTTTTTTAACAGAATTTTGACGATATCAAGATGGCATCTTTCTGTCGCTTCATGCAATGGGGTGCTACCTTCCACGTCCGGTATATTAGGATCACTTCCGGCGTTCAGTAAGTTTTTAACGACCTGTGTTTTTCCGTTTCTGGAAGCGTAGAATAGGACCGTGCGTCCATTAGCGTCTCTCGTGTTCAGTTCAGACTCTGTGATACCAGCAGCTGAAGCAAGGGCGTATGACCTTGACATCGGCTTAACAACAATAACCGACATTGTCGCTAACATGGATAAAGTTAATGTGGAAATCCAAGGACAAGTGCAAACCGGCTTAGTGATCAAATTGCACAACAAAACCTTCTCATAGAAGTGATTCCAGTAGACTTCTGATGTACGCTGGATGTCTTTGTTTTCCAATTAAAAAAAAGTACTTTTAACCCTCTTTCTTTTAACACGCCAACAATGTTTAATCTGTTGAACTGTACAGCACCGTTCTACGGAAAGAAACTTCGTTCCGGCTTAACAAATATAAGCTTTTGTTCAAAGTATTCCAGCTATGTTGTAAGTTCCGTGTAGATATCTCCAAATAATCATATGACTCCAAGCCAATAGTTCTAGTATTCAAGTAGATGCAACATTTTCCCAAAAGTACCGTTTTTTAGAGTTCTCATAAAACTCCAACGTATTATCTGCATATAAATGAAAGGTTGTTTCTCCAATTGCACGTCGTTCACTTTAACATTGGCCTCATAGGCTTGTAGGTTATTGCTGGACACCAACGACGTTCTCTGTCCAATACCAGGATGGATTTGTTACTCCAGTGCCGTGTTCTTGTCTTATATCCGCTAAGGTAAGTACCTTAATGTAATCGACGTACACAGTGTACTATACCTGTGGGTCGAGTCTATAGCTGTTTAATGATACCGCACTACCAACAGCGCTCTGCTTATGATACCGCACTACCTACAGCCCTCTGTTAATGATACCGCACTACCTACAGCTTTCTGCTATATCAGCCTTACTTATGTCACACACCTGACTTATATACAGCTGTCATGTGTCCAGGTAGACGCAACTCTCTGGACAGCTAAACTAGTTTTTTTATATATATATATGTGCATCAATGACCGATTGTAAAAAGTATAGTCAGCTTCACAAAAAAGTACTTTTTTGCCATTGTCAATTTCACAAATATTCATGTTTTGTTTTGCTTCTTATTATTCTTTGTAATCTATAAAACTGTCGGTTTATATTTTTCATAATTTATTAGTTGGAAACTTTGCAACGCATACAATATTATCAAGCTGTCTGAGGTCATCACTACCGTGTCATGGGGTCCGTTGCTTCATGTTTATCATGTAGCTCAGGGCATCAACATGTGAGTTATTGTATGAAGTCTTCTACCTGTTTACGACTCTCCATATTAGTGTGGTGTTTGTCCTTTGCTTTGGGACAGAATAATTTATCAGAAAAAAACTCTCCGTTAGAGAAAATGGGACTTAAGGTTGTATCATGATGCCCCAATATTTTCACTGGTATTATAATCAGCGGTTTACCTGTGTGAGCCATTGCAAAATATCAATTATAGGTCTGAAAAAACGAAAAACGAAAACATACATACATACATGTATATGGGCAAGTAAGTAATTCAAACAGCGTAGGCAATATGAGGTTGTCAAATTTTCGGAGCAATCCGCTCTTTTAACGAGACAAAGAAAAACCCCAGAACATGTACATGACAGCAAAACAAAAAAGTAATGTAATGGTATATAACTCATATTTATAAACAATAACCCCCTCGGCTAGTGTAAACAGAAGGCAGAATTTATCCTGACCGCACCGGGACCAATGACATTGTGTGGATGGGATTGCTCCGAAAATATGTCAACCACATATTGTCTACACTACTGTAATTACTTCCTTGCCCCGTATACTAATTTGAAGTAATTGGTATCCCACAAACGTATGTCTGTAAGGATCCGGTGATATATGAAAATTTACTGTTGGTATTACTTCTTTGACCCATACCTATAGTTATTTCATTAGGTAAGCTTCAAACTGCATATTTTAAACACGCTTTTAAAATAAATGTAAACAGAATTTGAATTGTATAATCGCATATATGATATTCTACACCTAATCAGGTAAGTAGAATCACCATCGAAATAAACTCTGGTAAACTCATGTTAGCTCTGATACTGTAACTCGGATAGACTTCGGTTATTGTTCTAACTTTGTTCTGATTGAAGTGTAACGTAAGAAAAATAACCATTTTCAAGGACTTTGGTATGTCCTGGCCTGGGGTCAGAACCCAATGCCTTCCTCATCTGGGCGAACGCTCAACATTAAAGCCAGAAGTAAGGTATTGCCAAGAAAAGGCGCTAGGAAATAAAAGGTAGATAGAAGTAGAAAGAAAGAGAAAGATCCATAATTCTGAAGGGGGTTCCCACATTAGTCGCCTCTTACGATACATGCTGTGGATAACAACAGGTGTATTCTTTTCTCGGTCCCCGACCTGCATGGGTGAATATATAGGTACATTTACAACAAATTTTGAAAACATGCAGGAATAAATGTTTATCATTTGCTGAAAATAATGACAAGAAATACTAAAAGTAAGGAAGCACCTATTAAAAGGTTTGTTTGTTAAGACAGAACACCAAATATTGTAAATATTACTGCATCAGAAGGCCATTCCGTCCATTAAGGCCATTTCAGTAGCACTAAGGTCAGAATAATGAAAATCCTCATCAAAAATGCCCCTTAACATGTTTGTAGAAATAAATAAAAAGATAAATATAGAAAAGTCGCGTTTTAAACCATTGATAACGTTACAAATTTACAACATTTGGGTACGGCAGAGAAAATATAAATCTTTTATAGGTAAACCGGAGTCACTGGTATTGCTAGTATCATAAAGTGTCAGCAAAGTGTTCATGGATTTATATTAGTACATATGACAAAACAGCACAACTGAAGCAGTGTTACATTTCTATACAATGTATAACATGGCAGGTCAGCATAGCTCTTTCCCTAAAACTCTTATCCGCCTTTTCGCCTCGGGTGATATAATGAAGGGACCATAAATATTTTCTTATGCATGTATCAGTATTCAAATTATGTCTCTAACAATAAATTATGCATTTAAATAAATCGTTTCATGGCACATTGTACCGTTACTAGTTATATACAGTAATCACTAGAAATACGACAAATATATATATATATATATATATATAATAGATAAGACAAGAACAATATTGCCGATCTTGATTGGTGACTATTACTAGTATTTAAAACCCTGCCGTGTACAGAAATCCAATTCGTTTACGCATCACATATAGAACCATTTTAACTCAAAACATTTAAAAAGATATCTGAATATGTATGGGTATGAAGTTTATATATGATAATGTGAAAATTGATGACCGTTTATGAGATGCAATTAATGTTTACAATCAATTTCATGGACACATTAAAGATAAAAACAAGCTGTTCTCTGGCGGGGAAATATGTGAATAATGAATTCTTGATGGATTCAATTTTCCTTCTTTTAATTTCGGCTACTCCAATTAAGTCTTAAGTTGTTTTCTCAACTGCTTAATTACTGTTGATCTCAGCATTTTAAAATTTCTTGTTTTTGAATTCAGTTATCCTTCTTTTAATTTCGGCCTCTCAAAATCATTTTAACCCTTAATCATTTAGCACTATAAAGTCGGCATCAGGTAGCAGTGTACAGTAGCGTACGGTGGCCATGGATGATATTTTTGTACAATGAATAACCCCTGTAATATTACATTGGACTATGTGGGCTTCATATTTCAAAAAAGAAAAAAAATCGAATTTGGTTTGAGACTTAATTTTTGGCCATTTACAAATCTGTGTCTACACAACAAAAGCTAGCTTTTCTATTTTGTGAAAAATCCAGTTGAACGACCTATGCTAAAACATGAGTATTTCTGTTACCGTGTAGGCGATATTTAATATAAGACAGGTTTTAAGAAAACAATTATTTCTTGCGTGGGTCAAATTTTGGGTTTAAAATCATGGTGTTTTGCATTTTTTGATGTGGTAACCATGGTTTTCACAAGTCCTAAATTTAGGGAAAACACTTTAAAAATCAATCAATCATTCTTCCTAAATTTTTAGGATCAGGCCATTTCTACTGCACTCTGCTACCTCAGATCCGCGCTATAACAGGGAGTCAAGCAAACCAACATACCCTGTCTACTGCATACACACACGCAAGCACTCATACACTATACACATTGAGGCACGTCTTTAAATGACCTTAGCAGTTAATAGGACTTTAAACAAATTAAACCAATTAATCCCAAACCAAACCTTAACCAATCCCCCTATCTTCGTAAAACTGCCTACTTACTGTTGATCTCAGCATTTGGAAATATTCTTATTTTTGAAATCAGTTACCTTTCTTTTAATTTTGGCAGCTCAAATTGTTTTTTAAAGTTAATACTATCCCCTATTTTCTGAACTGGTTACTTAATTTCGTTACAGGCTCTTTAACCGTGATAACTCTAACAATCCTGACGAAGTTAACTAAATTTAAGTAATTAAATATATATTATGATGATGAGGCCATCATAAACATAACACTGACATAATACGGGGACGCCCTATCAATACACAAAGGTCAGGTATGTGCGACAAATCTTTTAGTACATCAGTAAAATTCATCATAATCAGCAAAATGTCAAATTAAAACCTCGACATTATCATTAAGATATGTACATATGAGAAATTTAAAGGTTTTCTTTCGTTCTGTCATAGTTAGTATGAACGTAAGACACTTTCACGTGATTGCAATTATAAATTGTGGTAATACGTACAGTACAATGACTTCCACAGCATCAGACAGGTGTTTCGTCCTTCTATGACTCATCGGTAAGGCTAGGGATCAAACGTCTGGAACTGCAAAATTTAGAGGCGTACTGGTTTATTTAATATTAAAAATGAGTGAAGCTTGTGACTGTGTTGATGAAGGTGGCAATCGACATTGGTTAAAGCTAGTGTTGAAACAACAGGGAAGATGTAGAAAACCACTCAAATGTATGCGATTATATTATGAAGGATCGACAAAACGGTCAGAGTAAAGGATATAGAATAACGAAGCAATGAAGCACCTATTGCAACGTTAAGTAAGCTGACAGAGAAAGCCTAACGAAACAGATACCAACTGTGCAATAAGGTCGTTTCGTCCTTTTGTGACACTCATCAGTAGTAGTAAATGCCACAAGAATCAACATTTATGTCAAAAGTGTTTCGAAACGTATTCAGAAATACAGGAAAGTGCCTATAAAACACGTATAAAGGTACAAATGATATAGATTTGGCTAAATCAGCAAATTTGTATTTAAAGTGGTATTTCATGTTTCACCTGCCCGGATTAGTCCCAGCTAGAGTTGAAGGTTACAGCCAATCACAGGGACATTCATTCAATCAGCACAGTATATTTATACACACAGTAATCATAAGACGTACACATTGATATACATGCTAGAGGTGTTATTGTGATAATAGTAGCGCCTAACAATAAAATGGGAATAATGAAAGAGATTTATGGATTGGTAAAATATTGTTCTATAAGCGTACCCAATTAATGTATTCAATCATATTAATAAACGTCCTGTCATTCTGTTGTCACTGTGTTTTAGCAGTCGTTGCAGAAGACAAGCTGAAGGTGTGTGAAAAGTGTCTAGTGTAACACAAGCTCCGTCTACGTGGAAAATGAACACTCACATGGCTCACAATCTAGCTGAAAACAAATTATATTATGCAATAAAACTTAAGTTATTGTGTCCAATTTGTTCGAAAAATATCTCGATCTCTTCTTTGTCCCCTCTCTTGTCCTCACTTCTTTCTTGTCATATGTAGATATGTATTGTAATCAACTAGTTTTTGTCGAAGAGGACTTTAATAAGTTGGCAAAACTTGTGTCCAATTCATTTGCAACATCTGTTATTTGCAATAAAATATGTTAAAA